GACCCCCAAATCCCCCAAATTTCCCCAAATTTCCCCAAATTTCCTTGACCCGCAGTCCGGGCGGGCTCTCCCCGGCCGCTCCCGGAGCTTTTCCCCCCAAATTCCCCCAAATTTCCCCAAATTTCCTTGACCCGCAGTCCGGGGGGGCTCTCCCCGGCCGCTCCCGGAGATTTTCCGCCCCAAATTTCCCAAATTTCCCCAAATTTCCCCAAATTTCCCCAAATTTCCTTGACCCGCAGTCCGGGGGGGCTCTCCCCGCCCGCTCCCGGAGATTTTCCGCCCAAATTCCCCAAATTTCCCCAAATTTCCCCAAATTTCCTTGACCCGCAGTCCGGGGGGACTCTCCCCGCCCGCTCCCGGAGATTTTCCCCCCAAATTTCCCCAAATTCCCCCAAATTTCCCAAATTTCCCCAATTTTCCCCAAATTTCCCCAAATTTCCTTGACCCGCAGTCCGGGGGGACTCTCCCCGCCCGCTCCCAGAGATTTTCCCCCCAAATTTCCCAAATTTCCCCAAATTTCCCCAAATTTCCTTAACCCGCAGTCCGGGGGGACTCTCCCCGCCCGCTCCCGGAGATTTTCCCCCCAAATTTCCCCAAATTTCCCCAAATTTCCCCAAATTTCCTTAACCCGCAGTCCGGGGGGGCTCTCCCCGCCCGCTCCCGGAGATTTTCCGCCCCAAATTCCCCAAATTTCCCCAAATTCCCCAAATTTCCCCAAATTTCCTTGACCCGCAGTCCGGGGGGGCTCTCCCCGCCCGCTCCCGGAGATTTTCCCCCCAAATTTCCCCAAATTTCCCCAAATTTCCCCAAATTTCCCCAAATTTCCTTAACCCGCAGTCCGGGGGGACTCTCCCCGCCCGCTCCCGGAGCTTTTCCCCCCAAATTTCCCAAATTTCCCCAAATTTCCCCAAATTTCCCAAATTTCCCCAAATTTCCCCAAATTTCCTTGACCCGCAGTCCGGGGGGACTCTCCCCGGCCGCTCCCGGAGATTTTCCCCCCAAATTTCCCCAAATTTCCCCAAATTTCCCAAATTTCCTTGACCCGCAGTCCGGGGGGGCTCTCCCCGCCCGCTCCCGGAGATTTTCCGCCCAAATTTCCCCAAATTTCCCCAAATTTCCCCAAATTTCCCCAAATTCCCCAAATTCCCCCAAATTTCCTTGACCCGCAGTCCGGGGGGGCTCTCCCCGCCCGCTCCCGGAGATTTTCCGCCCCAAATTTCCCCAAATTTCCCCAAATTTCCTTAACCCGCAGTCCGGGGGGACTCTCCCCGGCCGCTCCCGGAGATTTTCCCCCCAAATTTCCCAAATTCCCCCAAATTTCCCCAAATTCCCCCAAATTCCCCCAAATTTCCCCAAATTCCCCAAATTTCCCCAAATTTCCCCAAATTTCCTTGACCCGCAGTCCGGGGGGACTCTCCCCGCCCGCTCCCGGAGATTTTCCGCCGCGGGGTCGGGGGGGGGCGGGGCGCGCAGCCCCCGCCCTTCCTGGTGGGTTTGGGGGGGGGAACGCGGGTTTTGGGCAAATCCGGCACTGCCCGGCCCGGGGGGGGCGG